TACTCTAGGGTAAGGGGTGTCAAGCGATACCCCTTAGTCGAAAAATTACATTGTGTGTAAAGGTCAAATTTTGGTTTAAAAAATATATATACAAGTATTGACATATCTTGACATAAGTTAGAAGTTTAGTATAGTGACTGTAAAAATTCTTTGAGATCATATGTTCTTGCCCTACTAGCCTCATAATTATATTTTTACTACACCCCTTAATGATAATTCTGATCCGCTATTTGGATCCACATATATTTGTGATACAGAACAAATCTCGCTTGCTTCTCTCTCATGTATGATACATGTATATAATGTGTCAATTTCTTACCAAACAGGCATAATATGTTTTAAAATAGTTATAATACATATATATTGCATACATAATTCACTTTTAATACATATTGCAGATTTATCATAGTATTGCTATACATTGCTACAAATGGTAATAAATAAAAATTATCACTAAAATCAGTAATTATTTATTAAAAGACACCTTTTAAGTAATTTTTCCAAGAAGGGACCTAAATAATTATGTAAAAATTAGGCAAATCACATAGTATAAGAAAGAAATTACTTCCTATCCCTACTCTTTCATTAATTACCAAAAATTCCTTTTTTAGTGTCTTTCGGATACATAATATTGCAGGCGGATACTTAAATTATTAAGTTGTTGTTATCAGCTTTATGCGTTAAATAAGGGATTAAAACGAAAATTATAATTGACTCCCACAAATCACGCGCACGTTTCTTCTTTCAACCAATCAGTCGTTCATAAACCTCTAACTGAATTATAATGTTTAAATTTCAAATTATGAAACCTTCTCCCTGTTCTTTGAAAAAATAGTAAAAGTTTGATTCAAACAATTTTGGAATGCAATTTTGTGAAGATTCGAAATATTCTGGATCATGGGAAAGTGATGTTACGAGCGATACAGAAGTGATGGGATAGTAGTTGGGGAAAATATTTCGTTCGTGAATCTTATTTACATTGTTTGTCTTGAGAGAAAAACTTGTTCATGTGGTAGATTTCAATATGACGAGATACCTTGTGTGCACGCAATGACCGTTTTGAAGAAGAAGAATATTAAAGATGTACACCTCTACTGCTCTGATTACTATAAACATGATGCATTAACAAATACTTATGCAGTTCCAATGGGACCAATGCCAGACAAAAGTGATTGGACAGCTCCAGAATGTGTTTTGGAAGAAGTCGTCTTGCCACCAAGATACAAAAAAATGCCTGGTAGACCAAGAAAAAAGAGGAAGAAAAATCCAGACAAAAAGCTAAGTACAAAAACGAATTGTTGTGGACGTTGTAGACAAGAAGGTCACAATATAAGAACATGTACTTTCTTTCCAAAAGATTCTTGATGATTACTTTTTTAGAATTTTTTTGCTTCATGTGTACTAATTTTCTAGATATTTTGAATCTGCTAATAAGATATTATCATTTGGTGTGATTTTAACTTTATATAAATGTTGCAAGCGACAAACTGTTGAATATGCATTTTTTGCATGTATGGCGTACTTTCGATCTCTCCTAATGTTACTTTTCGAGTCTCTGAACAACAACTTCTGAAAGCCCCATAGCCTATAATAACCACCATATGTAATTAAGTAACAAATGGAGAGTATGAAAGGAATATGTAAAAAAAAATCATTTCATTGCTGATTTGATGGTCAGTACCTAAAAACTTTACAACAACATAACCACTTGATACTAAATATATTGAATTGTTTTATACCTAGTGTAAAACATATTGTATCATGTGTTGGGGTATATAACAATTAAGTTATTTGATAATTTATTTAGTATCATATACGTTATAGTTCAACTATATTTTGTATCTGATAATAAAAAAATGTTAGTTGTTATGATTTAAATCAATGTTACAAGATTCAACCTGTTAAAGGATACTAAATATATTGAAACTTAATTGTTTTGTACCAATTGTAACATATACACAAATTTGTTATTTGATAATAAAATGTGTATTATATACATAATAATTTTATGAATATTGTGTATCTAATAATAATATAGTATCATATGTTGTATTTTACATCAAGGCAACCACATGTTAATAGATATTAAATAAATTGAAAATTAGTTGTTGTTTACCAAGTGTAAAATATATAGTATCAGATATTTTGTATCTGATGGTTATATTGTATCAGCAGTATTGGTGTATAAGATACAATTTGTAACAAGATACTATATAGTAAACTATATATATTGGAACAATAATTAAAATTGAAATACAATTTTTGACAAAAACAGTCTTCAAATTAATAATTACTTAGAATAATTGTGTTGAAACGGGAAGAAATATTACAAAATACTAATTAACGTATCTTCAATACAATAAACCATAACTATTCTACATTAATCATTACGCCTTCTGCTGGTGTAGTGTAGCCACTCTTCGGCCTTGTAGGATCGTCATTATCGCTAACATATCTCACCTTGAACTTGTCCATACCATACTTCCATAACAGTGTTGCATATCTATTGCGAAGATGGTCACTCCGAAAACTAATAGATGGAATGTTGATTTCGTCTCTCAGGTATTCAGCTCAAGTTGCATTTGGGGATATTTAGGTATGGGGCAAATATGGTATCCTTGAATAACTCAATACCTTGGTCCTTTATTGACAAGACTAAATCTTCAATAAAATTGGAGTTGTAGGTAGGACCAAACTTTAGGGAGTTCTTTGGAATATGTTTAATTACATAAATCATATTCTGCAATTATATAAAAATGATTTTTATCAAACATAAAAAAAGTACATGATACATTCATACTTACAGCTAGAAATGCTATACTATTACAGAAATATAATGATGTTTCGCTTTAATTGATACTAAATAACAAGAATACATAAGAGGTACACAAAATCAATTATATTGTATATACAGTGACATAATTCAATGTGATACAAATATAAATTCTCATAACCATTTTTATTCTTTTAAGTATCATATAGAGAATTATCATTGACTATGATGCACAGTACCAAAATCAACCTAGATGCCAAATTGTGAATTAAGCAAGTATCTTAGATACAATAATGTTCATTTCATTTGATACTAAATAACAACAAAACATAAGAAAACATAAGAGGTTCACAAATTCAATTATTCCTTATATACAGTGACAAAAAATAACCTACAAAGTAAATGTGATTTGAGTACTTAACTTCGATACAGTTCTCTTCACTTTTGATACAATAACAGTTAATAAACAAATTCGCAAAAAATTAATGTATCTGAAAAACAACTGCATATTTCAAAGAGGATACTTAATTAAAAAATAAGAAATTATTTATCATCAGATTAAAAAAAAAAAAAACAGGGGATACATATATGATAAAAATTGCATACCATGGGTAATGTTGGTCGATTAATGGGAGGGGCAACCTTTCTACCCCTTTTTTTGGGGGGTTTTAGATCTTTTGAAGTAGATGCATGTACTTCTTTTATCGATTTTCTCTTGCTAGAACTTTGATTTGTGGTCGTGCAACCTTTTAGAACTCAATTCTTTGTTGTTAGGATCTTCTCAATAAAAAAATAGAGATTTGTTAGATGTTAGATGCATAATGCAAGAGCCAAAACGATTGATACACAATAAAAGAAAAATAAAGGCGGAAATCACAATGGAGAAAATGAGAAAACCTAATTTGAACTCTAAATCCGGTTGAATAGTGATAGGATTCTTTTGAAACTCAAAATTGTTTGAATTTGATAACTGAAATTGTAATGGGAGAGATTGAGGGCGAAAATTAGGGAATGGGAAAGGTCTGATTTGGCTTCCAAATAATAAAGTATCCGGTTAAGTTGAATTGGAGGAAAATAAGGGATTTTTGTATTTTAATAAAAGAGTAGGGAAATAATGAGAATAGGTAAAGTAATGTTGTGTACTTAAATAATTTGTCCAATAATTATCCATTCAATTGTATAATATATATCGATTACTTTAGCAGGAAAATACATAAATATACAATTTAAAATATCATAATCTCTAAAATTCCTTAACATTTTAAAAAATTACATCTCTCCCTTCTCGGATAATTCCTACTCCCTCTCGAATTAAGTAATCTATCATTTGAAATATATCGGACAATCAAAAAATGCATCTGACAAATTTGATTTTTTTTGTAATTTGGAGAAACTTTCAAGATACAATATAGGACAAATTACTTAACTACACTCCTTTACTTAACTTAATATCTATTTATCCCTACTTATTTCAAAAATTTCAAAAATCTCTTATTTACCTATGTATCCCGTGCACAACGCTATGTATCCCGTCGCTATGTGGAATGTATCAAGCGCTATGTATCTCGTGCACAACGCTATGTATCCCGCGTGTACCCCATACACAACGCTATGTATCCCGCTATGTGAAATGTACCAAACCTAATGTATCTTGTGCACAACGCTATGTATATTGCTATGTGAAATGTATCAAACCTAATGTATCCCGTGCACAACGCTATGTATCCCGCAAACATCATTTTTAAGTGATTTTTGGTAAATAGAAAACTAGAAGGGATAAGATGTTATTTAGTACTTATAATATGTGGTTCCTATAATTTATACTAAAATATAATTGTCGTCTTGAATATTGTGAAGATCCAAAAGGTTGGGCTCTCACATAATTCAGAGTTGGGCCTCTTTTCTCATACAAGCCCACATAAGCTAAGGTATGTCGCTCGTTCTTCTTCTTCTCTCTGATGTTGAGCTCGGAGCTGCAATGGCTTTGAGAAATCGCCAGCTATGGCAGCAAACGAAGATGATTTACAAAGTGACTATAGATTCTTCAGTTCGAAACCGAAAGTAGATTTGAGGAAGCTGAGGCCAATGATTCTGAAAATGATTAAGGATCGGGCGAAAGATTATCCAGTAAAATCCCTCCTCTGTTCCCTCTGTTCTAGCCCTATTGTCGTCATTTTTAAGTTCTTTAATTTGAGCTACTTTTAACCTTAGAGAAAACAGAGCAGCCATGCTCTATCATTCATGGAGAAAACCTTTATGCAACAGAGGTAATTTCTTCCCTTTAATCCAACTGTTTGCTGCTTTATCGCATGGCCATGTAGCTATATTTCATTCGTGCGCTTCTATTCCCTCTAAATATCCTTCGTTTCGCAAAAAGCCATCGGTTTCTAAGAAGCGTAAAGTTGTAATTTTTAGGGAATTCAGAGATGTGAATAATTTAAACGATGCTGTTTGTGTTTTTCATCAATTGGTCCGTAAAGAACCAGTTCCTTCTGTTGTAGAGTTCGCAAAATTGTTAAGGGTGATGATTAATATGAAAGAATATGCTGTTGTTGTTTCGTTTTTCGAAGAGATGAGGAAGTTAGGGATTCCCTTTGATGATTATATCTTGACTATTGTGATTAATTCTTTTTGCTTGCTGGGTTGTGCTGAAAATGGGTTTTCGGTATTGGGTGTTTTTTTCAAGAGTGGTGTTCAGTTTAATGTGGTTACTTTCAGTACTCTTATGAGGGGACTTTTTGAACAAAATAAGATTCAGGATGCTATGTGGTTGTTTAGGAAGCTGGTGAAAGAGAAAATTTGTAAGATGGATGAAATTATGTTTGGTACAGTCATGAATGGGCTTTGTAAACAAGGGCATACTCAAACAGCTCTTAGTTTGTTGAGGATAATGGAGCAAGGGGATGCCAAACCTAACACAGTTGTGTATAGTATTGTTGTAGATGCGCTTTGTAAAGACCAAATGATAGGTGCTGCTTTCAATCTTTTCAATGAAATGAAGCGAAAAGGGATTACTCCGAATGTACTTACGTATAGTTCACTGGTTGATGGTTTCTGTAAGTTTGATCAGTGGGAAAAAGTTAGGATGCTTTTGGATGAGATGATGTATCTTAATATTTTCCCGAACGTGCACACGTTTAGCATGTTGGTAGATGCATTTTGTAAAAAAGGGATGGTTGAAGATGCTGTGGAAGTGTTAAAGATAATGGTCCAAAAAGGTGAACATCCCGATGTGGTTACCTTTAACACTATAATGGAAGGGTATTGTTTGCGCGATGAAATAGATGTAGCAAGGAGAGTTTTAGACTCTATGATTGATGTTGGTGTCAAGCCTGACATCTTTAGTTACAATATATTAGTCAATGGATATTGCAAGCAGAAGAAATTAGATGAGGCCATGCATTTATATTGTGAAATCTCGCAAAAGGGGTTGAAACCTGACATTGTTACGTATTCGACTATCTTGCAAGGCCTTTTTGAAGTTGGTAGAGTTGAGTGTTCTGAAAATTTCTTTACTGAGATGCAAAATGCAGGCCATAGTCCTGACATTTACACTTGTGGCATTATGCTTCATGGTTATTTAAAAAATGGACATGTAGAAAAAGCAATGTCCCTCTTTCACAGGTGGGAAAAACAAAAAGAAGATACTTATATTTTGATCTACAATACAGGCAATGATGGGTTTTTTAAAATTCAAAAGCTTGATAGAGCTCGCTCTATTTTTGATAAGCTTTATTCCGTAGGGTTGCATCCTGATGTTATAAGATACAATGTAACAGTAAATGGACTTTGTATTGAAGGTTTAGTAGATGAAGCCAAAGAGTTGCTAAGAAAAATGGAGGACAATGGGTGCTTACTGGACAATGCCACTTCCAATCTTATTGTGCATGGATTTCTCAAGAGTAATAAAACTAATGAAGCAATGACCCTTTTGAAGGAAATCATCCAGAGAGGTTTTCCAGCTGATAAAGTCACTATGTCATTGCTAATAGAACTACTCTTGTTAATAGGGGAAGGTCCTTTTTTGCTTAATATGATACCAAAACTTCATCTAAGAAATGAGAAATGAAGCTCCTTTTCCTCTCACTATTGAACTACTTGAGAGCTTGACTACAATTGGGAAAACCAAATGATGATAGCACTCGAAGTTTAGTTAGCTTCCAATAATGGTTGACTCGCCCAACTGTGAATCCACGGAGCGGGTAAACATGATGAAATCTGAAAATAGGAAGTTGTCTAAGAAGAATGCAGAGTTGCAAAAGCAAGTGAGAGAGCTAAATCAAAAGCTTCAGGCGGCTCAGCAGGGAAATGGTCGTACACAGGAGCAACTGGTGGTGTCGAGTCAACCTCAGAAAGCTGGGCCTTTTGGAACTGTCAAAAGTTTGAGAACTAACCCTCCTGTTATGCCTGATGAGTCAGTGAACCCAAGATTAGCAAAGCTCTTGGCAGAGATTGCAGTTGGCAAAGAGGTCATAGTTGCACTTACTAATTCAAATGTGAAATCCATGTTGGAGGTTTGGTTCAACAGTATTAAAAAAGTGGTTATTCCCAATTATCTAGTCGTGCCTTTAGATGAAGCTATAGTGGAGTTCTGCAAGGAAAATGACATTCCAGTTTATAAAAGGGACCCTGATGAGAATGTTGATTTTATTGGAAAAAGTGGAGGCAACCACGCTGTGAAGTTCCGAATTTTGAGGGAGTTTTTGCAGCTTGGTTACGGTGTCCTCCTGTCTGATGTCGATATTGTGTATTTGCAAAATCCCTTTGATCATTTATATCGTGATTCAGATGTTGAATCAATGTCAGATGGTCACAATAATATGACAGCTTATGGTTACAATGATGTTTTTGATGAACCATCAATGGGTTGGGCTCGATATGCACATACAATGAGGATATGGGTTTATAATTCTGGTTTCTTTTATATTCGGCCAACGATTCCTTCAATCGAGCTCTTAGATTGGGTTGCTACTCAGCCAAATTCCTGGGACCAGGCAGTTTTCAATGAAGAACTGGCTTTTCCATCACATCCTGGGTATATTGGCCTTTACGCTTCCAGGAGAAGAATGGATATCTACCTGTTCATGAATAGCAAGGTCCTATTCAAGACTGTACGAAAAGATGCTAATCTGAAGAAGTTGAAACGAGTTATAGTTCATGTAAACTATCACCCGGACAAATTTCCTAGAATGAAAGCAGTTGTTGAGTACTATGTCAACGGCAAGCAGGATGCTCTGGATGCATTCCCAGATGGTTCTGTATAGTAGCAGCTGCTGAAATGGACCTTCCATTGAGATCTAGGCCAGTGATATTCCATGTCTTGCTATTTGTGTTTTCATACAGGTAGGCTCAGTTGATTCCCCTTTTGGATCAATGTGTTCTTTTTTTGAGAACTCAATGTGTAATACCAACTACATTCTCTTTCGCCACAGTAGTAGTTTTATTCGAAAATTTTGCAGTGTTTGTTCCTTTCTTATTTTGTGGCTTGCTCATATTATATATTCTTTGGTTCATCTTGTCTCTTGAGTGGCTGGCTACTGCCTACTGGAAGCACAGAGCAGCAAGGGCATTGAAGTAACGACTCTGTTTGCAAAAGACCTTTCAAACCTATTTAGTTATCGTCCTCATTTAAAGCCATATAGCTATTATTTGATATTATGATGCATATAGACATTTTAGATGACTATTATTTAGTTTAGGTATTTAGGCATCTTGACTTCTTTTAGCACTAGAGTTTGTGATGCAGCTTCGACCCTGTGTTGTGGTATCCTATGACAAACTGGTATTGTCCCTTGCTGTTTGGCATGAGACTGACTTCATGGATTTGTTTGAGCAATAGTTACAAATTACTTGGCTGACGTTTGTAAAGGTTATTTCCTCATTAGGTACTTCAAAGTAGAACTTATATATGAATGTTTTTACTCAATTAGTGTGGTTTAGGGTGTTGCACCTGAGTAAGTTTAGTGCTTGGTACTTAAATGCTGGTTGGTGTTGTTTATATCGCGTGTTATTGACGCTATTATTTATACCACTCACATCATGATATTGCTAATCAATGATCATGATCTCTTAACATTGGTAGATTCACATTTTCTGGACAGTGAAATATGAAGTATTGAGAGCATCATTTTCATTACAATACTAGAAAAAGGGAGATGCCCAATATGAGGCATGTTTCTGAGTTAACATAAGAAGAAAAATAGTTAAGAAGTAATTCTAGACTTAGTTGCTGTAACAGAAAGTGAAATAAGACTGGAAAAGGCAGAATGGATACTGTAGGAGTTCATTCATATAGCTAATCTGAGATTGATATATACTCGAGCAGTACTCTCTTCATGTGGAGTTTTAGGAGTGGTGCTGCCACTGTCATCGATCACTACTATATATTGTCATCTCTAATCCACTCATGAGTGGATTAGAGATGACACTCATAATGATTATTTAACTTATGAGTGGATTGGCCAACAACCCTTGACATTTTTACCTTAATCCTCTAAACCAAAATATTACGTGAAACACTTCCTTGGATTCTATAACAATCAATAGCAACAAATTCTACGACTCAAATCCTGCACTTGTTCTTCCAAATGCTCAATACTCTATGTGAGCGATCAATTCTTACCTTACCAATTCATACCTTGACAAAACATACTATCACAAACGTAGACTTGCAATGAAAAACTTGAATTATGATTCCAACTGTGCCAGATATCAAACTCAAAAACACAAAAACACTTATTACCACACTCAAATCGAACGCCTATAGACTTCTTTCTCAAATCTTATCCAAACGTTTTAACCAATCTGATTAACTCATGACATTATTACCATGACCAAAGCAAAATGGTTGAAACCATGTGTCTCTGAACCCAATTCTCAACCCCTCTGAAGATACCTCCTTAGCCCGTGCAATTAGAGAAAATAAATCAAATCAAGTCAATTAATCACATTGCCTTTTATTACCCTTTTTTCATTATTAGAATCAATCAATGTGGACAAGTCGACCCATCACCAAGTCTCATTATCCCCAAACACATATTACCAGGAAATACACGAATTTCATACACTTAACAAGGGTTTAGAAATCCACTTGCCTCAATTAATCAACAATTCACTCCGGGACTTGAGCCTTCCCTTTTCGTTGAGCTTTCAAATTAATGCAATCTATTCAAGTACATGAACATAATAAGATTTCGAAACTAACAACACCCATATTAGTATAGATTCTAAGTTTCAAGCCTAGGGTTAAGCTTCAACTTCTCCAATATCACAATTCTAACGGTATTCATGTAATACAAAATACTCAATACTTAATTTTATACAAAAAAATAATAATTCCAACATCATTTTGTCTTAAAAGACAATTATATTATATTCCGACCCTCAATTTACATCTTATGCTTAATCCATAACCACAGAAAACATATAGTAATTCCTCAAAAATTTCGTGACCTAAACTAACTTGAAACTATAGTGTAGCATGTATTGAAAATAATTATATATATACTCCTAACAATTCAATTCCCTTAATTCCCCAAAAAATTGATAACAAACAAAAATAATAAAATAATAATAATAATAATAATAATAATAATAATGTTAGCAATGTTTCTTGTCCCCTAAATCTCAAAGCCGCCAAGAACGATACAGCAACATCATATGCCTTCACAACTGCCAACATTCAATTCCTTATAACTATTATACTAATATAATGATTATAAATATTTATTGCATCCGCTACACTCCAAAACTCCATGAATCATAACAATTATCGATCAATGAAGAAAGTCAATACATACTCTAATTAATTTCATATGACAATTGAATTTAATACTATAATCAATAATTGGAAACTAATGATTGTAAGGGTAGAGTTGAACTCCATTACAAAAATAAAGTTTACTTACTTGAAGGTGGCGCCGTTCTCTCTGTTCATGTTCTCCGCACGAACAACTTTATTTCTTTCTTCTCTTATTTTCTTTTCTAAATTTATTATATATTAAAAGTAATAATTCCTAATAACCTATTTTAATATCTCAAACTTGACCCATTATTATTAAAAATAATTAAATTATCCGCAAATTAATTAATTATAGTTAAATGACCATTCAAAATTATCAAAATGATCTTCTTGGGTCCGGGTCATTACATGATTAATGCCAAAGCCTGAAAATATCAAAATGATCTTCTCTTTGCTTCAACATCAATATATCAAATTCAAGCAGGTTACATACCATACATCCCTACACATACTTTCACCATACAAACCTTATGATATCTTCTTTAAAAAATAAAACTCTTCAACAAAAAAAACATATCTAATTATTAGTAAAATTGATTGACAAAACAGCGTAAGATTACGCTAAACAGGTCTCCAATGAACTAGAAATCAAATAGGGAACTTTATAGTAACAAAAGAAATCAAATTAAGGACAAGAAACTACCGGAATAATACTACTACAACTACAAGTATGGGCGGATAGCAATTATAGCGCACTATTACCTACTAATCTTCTAGTCTAATCCTTGTTGTCCACTATCTCATGTCTAAGGTCATGTCCTCGATAAGCTGAAACTGTGTCTAAACACTCAAAAAGCTACATAATGTTCAATGCATCTCATACATAATTAGCTATACCAAATTATTTCATTCAGAAGCAGACAAATTATGTACTCAAAAAGCTACATAATGTTCAATGCATCTCATACATAATTAGCTATACCAAATTATTTCATTCAGAAGCATACAAATTATGTATGCCTGCCCATGAGGACCCATGACATCTCCAAAACCCAACTTATAAAGGCAGGCTTGCAATCAGTTAGATTTTGACCAAAAATAAGAGCAGATAATGTTGTTATTAATTCTAATAAATACATAATTAATTATTTTGACCAAAATTAATTGCAAATATCATTCTTATTATTTTTGAGATAATAATAATAATATATTATTCAACAGATTCTTCAATTAAATTCTTTAATGAAATGAAGCGAAAAGGGATAATAAATTTGGCAACCTCTACCAGAATGGCCAATGTGGTTAGTGGATAATTAAACAGAAATATGCTTAAATCCTGTTGGACATGATTATTGATTATGCCTTTTTGTTTAATCATTTTTTCAATGAAAGAGCACGGCTGCTTAGTTTTCTCCTTAATTATTTTTTTATATTATAATTATGGTATTACTTTGAGAGTTTCTTGTTATTTTATTTCTGTGATTATTCTATATTTCTTGCATTGAGATTATTTGTAACGACTTGATCTCGTCGTTATAAAAAAAATCAATGGGGAAAGAATTGGACCAGAAAAACTTTTGAGTAGTGACTTGAAAATTCCTAGCCTAATCCAGATTTGGACGAAATCTGAGTCATGTGAGGTCTAGGGAAATCTGATAATGAATGAGAGATCTAATTATGATTTTGATAACATGAGTGGATAGCTGAGATGTTAAGAAAACCGTACGACTTTACCAAATCAAATTCGGGCGAGTAGAACTCCCGAAACTGATCTTAGCGTGAGCGGGGAGTTTTTGAATGTCATGGGTTGAAGGTGTGTTGTGAAATAGGGATTTGAAACTCTAATTCTGACGTTCTGTCTCCGCGCAAGCCGCCAGGACGGGGCCACTGTGGCGGGATGGGGTCCGCCGTAGCGACCCAGACGCGACTTACGTCAGGATTAAAACCCAAAAACGTTATTTTTCTGCAAGTTTCGTTCTTGAGAGCTAAGAGACGACCCAAGACTTTTTCTTAAAGGTTTTCCACCTCTTCTAGCACTAAAGGTAAGGATTTTACTCCCCTAATCCGTCTTTCAATCCGTAGAACTTAGATTCTTGGGTAATTATTATTGAGGGAAGGTTTTGATCTGAAGTTAATGGTGGAAAAGCCCTAAATTGGGTATTGGGATCTTGAGTTTGGCATAGGATTGATAATGTTGATTGTAATCCGGGTAATTAGGCCTCAATTATTGATCCTTATATTTAATTGTTATTTTTAGACCACGAACAAGGTAAAGAATCCGAAAAGGGAAGAATCAAGTGTCTTAGGAGGATTCAAGCTAGATTTCGAGGTAGGTGATGGTTTTGATTTCCTATTTGTGTTTGTATGTCGATTGATTGTATATTGTATGCATGCATGTATGCAAAGAATGAAAATGTCGAAACGACCCCAATGAATTGACTATGAACAATGTATGCCATGAACTTGTGTACTTGACTATATGATTTAAGTATTGTACATTATGGATGTGATTGTGATTGTGGTTGTGCTGATTGAATCGGGCGTCACATTCCGACACAC